TGAAGAAGTGTGACCTTCTTTGTCACACCAGTTACCTTTGAGACAGCCAAGAGCTTTCGCTCCGGAGCCCTTTGGGCGATAGTGGAAAAAAGTGCATCTTTCCAAGATTTCGCTAGTTCTACCTTTGGGATAGCCAAGAGCATTCGCTCTGGAGCCCCTTGGGTGATGGGTGCTATTTCCACCCTTGGTGATTTCAGAACCACTGAAGTGTAGGTTTTTCTCTTGACAGTGCCTTCAGCATTCCTATGACAAAAGAATACGTCAATAAGTTTCAAATATATATATATATTTTTTTGTTCTTCAAAAGATAGGAGAACAAATAGGTCCCACTGGGCATGCCAGAATTTGTAGACACAAATTTTAAAACATGAATTGTTCCAACACATTTTAAAATTTTATGTTACAAATGTCCATTGTTTAGTTTTTGAACTAAATAGTGTTGATTATTTGAATAGCAAGTTCCTATTTTCGATCTAAATTCCAGATCGTTAATTACACATTTTATATAAATGAAACCTCCAATTAATGAAGTGCAAAATAAATAACAGAAAACAATTTAAGAAAAATAAATATTTTATTGAAATTGTTATGGGTTTTGAACCTTTGAATACAAAGTACAATTCTTGGGTTTGGAACCCTTTACCTATTCATCACCATTCTGCGTTGTAGCGTAAGTTCTTGAGTTCTCTAGGCTTCTTTTCTTCTTTCTTGTAATGCCTTATTTAGTTCTTGATTTCTTTCTCTCTCTCTCTAATCTTCTCACTTCTGATTTTCTGATCCCTGATCTTGTGTGATGGTCCTCGTATTTATAGAGGGCCATCCAGGTGATAAGAATTTTGAATTTCAAAATTCAAATTGAACGATAGCACCATTTGAATTTTGAATGATAGCGCTATACGATTAATCGTATATCTGATTAGCCGAATTGATCTTTGGGGTTTCATCCTATGTGGTGTCCTTGCTGTAGGCTCTACAGGTGTCATCTTTCGTAGACTCCACTTGTCATTTGAGCATTTTGAAAAACGTCGTTGAGATACGATGTTATTTTATTTATGCACTTCAACGAAGCAAGTTGATCATTTTAGGAAATGATTGCCTACAACAATCTTATCATAGGCTCTATGTGTGTCATTGACTGTATTTGAAATTTAAACATAAATTTGGTTGAAATTTATGTGCCAACAGTGTTATATTGCATTTTTTATTATCTTTGAATGATATATTCATATATATAACATATAATAAATATATAGAAATATATATTTTATGCATGTTCCCCACACGTCGTGTCTTGTATTTTTTGAAAATTGGCATGTTCGTGTCGTGTCACGTGTCCGTATCCATGCTTCTTAGTAAACAGCTCTTAAAATACAACTTTTTCACAGATATGCTTGTACAATCTAAACTACAACTTGTACTATTAAATAAGACAAGAAAGAAAGAAAGAGAGAAAGAAAGAAAGAAATGTGCTTTGCTTTCTATGATGCTGAAAACGTCATATTTCCTTAATGTTATGTCGGGATCATGGATTTAGGTAAGGATTTGGAAAGGGAAAGGGAATAAGTGTGTGAAATGTAATTATATTTAATTCACATTTCACATACATTTTCCCATTTCCTTTAAAATCTCTACTCAAATCCATGATCCAAACACAACATAATGGTTATATCAAGATCAGAAAACCCAAGAACAATAATCCAAATCCAATAGTCAAATACATGATTAGGCCGGATACCAAGTTATCAAAAAAATAATCCAATAGTGCTTCCAATTAAAAGCTAAACTACTACGAAATTAACCAAGTTATGATCTGTTAAATAATCCAATAGTCCATCCAATCAAATAATTTTTTATTATTTTTTTTGTAGATCTTTTATTTTTTATCTTTTAAGTGGTCAATCGGTTGGTGTTGGTATATTTGTTTAAGTGTTTATGTAATGGTTATTGATACTTTGAACCAAGGTAGTAGAGTTTCATCTCTATTAGTGGTTATGCAATTTGTTAATGTGAAAAGATGTACAAAATAATATTTTTCGTTTATAGATTCTTTCTTTTCACCCCATAATCATAAATCTCAAGTATTGTCTTCTTTGCTAACTCTATTTCGATGTTCTGTTGTTGTTTGCCACAGGTCCTCAATTTCTACATTTTAACATAGAAGTAAAGCTATACCTCCCCTCTCCCTCCCTAGCAGCACACCCGCCAGTGATTTTAATAATTAATATTTGATAGCAAAGCACTGGTGGGTGTGTTTTTTTATATTTTAATTGATAGTAGGGTACTTGCAAGTGCATTTTTCAATTTATTTGCTTTGAATTGATAGCAGGGCACTGGCGGGTGTGCTTATTTATTTGTTTGATTTTAATTTATAGCAGGGTGATGATGGGTGTGCTTTTTTGTTAATTTTTTTCATTTTAATTGATAGTAGAGTACTTACAGGTGTGATTTTTTGTTATTTGCATTTAATTGTTAGCAAAGCACTGACGGGTATGCTTATTTGTTCATTTTCTTTTAAGAATTGATAATTGATAGCAGAGCACTAGTGGGTTTGCTTTTTTATTTATTTGTTTGGTTTTAGTTGATAGTAGGGTACTTGTAAGTGTTTTTGAATTTATTTGCTTTGAATTGATAGCAGGGCACTGGCGCCAAGAAATTTGGTAATCAAACACCACATATATTCCAAGATAGAATTATTGATAATTTGATGTTGTTGTCATTAATTGGCAAAATCACAACTCAATCCAAGTGAACTACATTATTCGACAGAGCATATTGGAAACATTTCAAGTATGTGATGTGCAAATGGCTAACTAGAACCACCTTCCACAAACACAGGATCTTTGTGCAAATACAACTATTGCAATTTCCTTTGGTCTTGTGTTCATATTTGATTAACACTATTTAGACTAAAAAAGTTTCTTTATGCAGTTGAGAATTTGATCACATGCTTTCAACTGTTAGTGTTCAACAGCGAAAACACACTTTTGCTTATCTAGCTTGCTTTATATAAATTTTCTGAATGTGTATTTTTCAAACAATGTTGGTTCATAACCATTTTACTAAAACTAGGTTTTGGTGTGATCTACAGATCCAAAAAAGATTTTGAATAACAAAAGCCATAGATGACCTTAAAACCTCGTACATATTGTCATCTTGAACAATGTCAAAATTTTCAAATTCATGAACATTTGAATGTTCATAATTTTCAGCCATAGTTGGCTTAAAATCACATCTTTTAAACACATTGTTTGCATCACTCTCTGAACTACGAGTTGCAACAAAAGACTAATTTTTTCTCACACATTAATGTGTTAGGAGCATTTTTCGAAAACCCAAAAAATATTTATGCCTTGTGAAATTGCTCCCTTGCCATGGAATTTTTATTCTCATGGCCTTTTGTTTTTTCGCCCATAACAATTGATGAATTAACTTTTTCATCATTCACAACCCTTAAAGGCGTGCGAAGAATAACTGAAAAACCACAAATTTTGGCCTATGCAAGAATTTCAATATTTCTCTCCATTGATGAATTTCGATCTCAAAATGGTCAAATTGATCATCAAGTTGACCAATCACTTTGTCAAAATGATTTTGTATTTCTAACCTCAAATAATATGACAATGGCGCTATTGTTTGAAATTTTTGCCGATCAAGATAATCAAATTTTTCTTGTAAATATAAAATTTTATTCTCACGTCAACACATTTCATCCTCACAAAACCAAAGCATTTCATCTATTTTTCTCTACATGTCATTCCATGGAAATCCATTTATTGGAACATCATGTGACTGTGTTTTACGAGATTTCTTTATGCTGTTTTTCAAGTCTTCTTGTACTTCATCTTGCCTTCGAATCTTGTCATCATTCCAAATTAGGAAGATGTCCCACTGGGCGTACCAAAAATTGTTAGTAAAAATTATGCTTATTTCCAATCGACAGGAATTAAACAACAATTCAAACTAAACAATCAAACGAGGACAATCAGGCAACTATGTAATTGATTCAAATGCCTCAAAAGAATGAGGGCTTCTATAGAACAATTGACAGTTACAAGGTAAACAAAGCAAACAAAAAGTAATTTCAAATGTGAAACTACTGAAGTTCACAGAAGTTTACAAATCACAGTGATGAACTACTCCTATTTCGAAAGAGAAACAACTACTAAGATAAAACTAAATCTAAAGCTAAGTGTTGTACAGTTTGTTGATGCTTTCTTCCTTGCAATCCCTGGCTTTATACTCCTTTCTCTGGCCCACATCTGCATGATCCTGCAACTGCCAGTGCTTAACTGCTGCAACTGCCTCTTTACTTCCAAGCTTTCAAACCTCATTAAATCTTCATTTCTACCTATCGAACTGCTCTCCTTCCATCATGCCACGTGTCCCTCCACATTTTTACTATGGCCAAACCCCTATTTTGCGCATGCTTGTTTCTGCAAAAATCCACCAAGTCCATGATGCATTCTGGTAACTACTCCATTCTCTGAATTGCAACTGACCCATTCTTCTCATGCCACCTGTCTCTTTGACTAATAAAGGACCCTTACCTTGTCCTTGTTACATGTCAACACTTGAATAGTCCACCTGTCAACATGAACCTTAACAAAAATGGGTGCAAACAGAATTATAAGAATTTTTTTTCACAAATCCATTTTTCTTTTCTTTTCCCTCCACAAACAAATGCATCTACAATCCAACAGTTGATTTCATACAGGGATATGCCATGGAAAGTGCTTCTATGTTTTTTTTTTTTTTTTCCCAAGAAGCATTAATAACTTATGTATAAAATCAGTTTGAATCTTAAGGCGATGCTTCAATCCCCACACATTTAGGCTTACATGAGTTTTCATAGAGAGAGAGAGAGAGAGACACAGAATATCTAGCCCACATGCATTGCTTATATGCCTTTTTCTTGGCATTGGACTCAATTGTTGCTTATTATTTAGATCTCTTATAAAACCCAATAACCTTTAATTAACATATTTTTCTTTGCTTCTCAGATGGCCACTGTTGTAGATAATGAAGTCATGAGATCTATTACACATTTGCTGCTAGAAGAAGACAAATCCCCGAAGTAATCAAGCCAACCAGGGAGGTACATAGGCATGTATTTGCTTCTCATAATTGCTTGGACCAAAACATAAGCAATTCCATCCAAGTTCATGATTACATTCTATGATTCACAAACAAGCAAGCTGGGGTAGTTTGTTCGTAGACCTGTTTCATCTATGGTGAGTTTTCCTGTCTCGTCTTCCCCTCCAGTAGCTTTTATTTGTGTCAATTAGACAAACCATAAACTCAAGAACGCCATGAAAGATGTATTTGAAGCATTTTGTTAGCTACTGTTATATGTTTAATTTGTTAGTTAAGGAACCTGTTCTCACTTGATTTGTGCCCTAAGTCATTCTTGGTTTTTCCAGTCTACAGGTCTTCTATGTACATGTGGTGTGTTATGCTCCAGTCTACACAAGATACGAACTGAGTATAGAAGGTTTTCTTTAAAGAACGTTCTAGTTCAGGTTATTGACAACCGGGGCTGGGGTTCTGACAAAGAGAGAGAGAGAGAGAGAGTTGTAAACTATTTAGGTGTTTTATCTTGGAAAGTATAATTTTATTGACTACAAAGGCTGGGCATAGAAGCTTTCCTAAACCATAGGATGTATGTTAAACAATATTCTTATTTACATTCACCTGTCCATCTCTCTTATTTTTATTTTATTCTGGTTAAAGCTAGGGAAAATTATTAGAAAGTCCCATTTCACAAACTGTTGCACCATGTGATCCCACATTTTTTCTGTTAGATTGGCAAGTCCTGTTGCTGTGTTCTTTTAATCAACCAAGTCCCTTTTTAAATTTTTTGGATTGTTTGGTGGACGAATTTGTCCTTTTTGTTAATCAATTGACGACATTGTAGGAGTAACAGATATTGGGGGATATATGGATGCCACGTTTGGTAGTTCAAATCCCATAATTACAGGGAATGGGAAATCAGTGGGTGTTCTTCTGGAATATGAGGCTAGGTTTTGGCTATTGTTGGACGGCACCAAGGGTTGTCACAGACGTCACGACAGCCCACGGTGATCTGGTATGTCATATGTTTACATCCGATTTTAAGAAAATGATAGTCCAATTGATGTCGATCACCATTTTCAATTGTTTGTTGATTCGTTTTCGAACGATGCTACGTTACTATCACTTCCAGTGGTGCAGTCGACACATTTGGATGCCACATCGTACATTCGCATCATGGTGGCCTACGGAACAGAGACACAGACCACTATCTCATGCCACTATCTCTTCCGGCAGTGCGATCCTTCACACGCACTTATGGACACAAGTGCAGAATAAGGATGTGGTTGCCACTTTTGGGATGAAGATTCGAATGTGAATCGGTGGTCCAAACGGTGCGGAATACCCAAATGGTAATGATGAAACGTTGCTACACATGCCACCATCACTTCCGGCAATGAAGTCCTTCACACCACAGCATCACACGTACTTACGGACATGGGTGTAGAATGAAGATATTGTTGCCACTTTTGGGATAACGATTTGAACGTGAATTGGTGGTACAAACGGGTGTAGAATTTCCAAACGGGAATGATGAAACGTTGCTACGCATGTCACTATCACTTCCGATGTTGCAGTCCTTCATACCATAGCATCACACGCATTCATGGACAAGGGTGCAGAATGAAGATGTGGTTGCCACTTTTGAGATGAACATGAATCGGTGGTCCGAAAGAGTGGAATACACAAATGGGAATGATGAAATGTTGATTCACCGATGAAACGTTGAATAAAAGATCAAGAATGTTGGTCGGCTTCCTCAATTTTATGGTCGTTACGTTCGGAGCAGAATTGAAACGTGGTTCACCTTGTTTAATTTAGTGAAAGGTATATCAATTTTTTGGATCCAGATGTGAGTTGCATTCATTTAATGTTAGGGGTGGACTAGTTTGGATTTGAATCCATAGGTCACCCAAATAATAGTGGTGAACTAAAAAAAGCTTATGGTAAGCTTTTTCCAAACGTAACATAAATGGTAAATATGGAATTAAAATTATTTAAATGTGACATGTAACACTCTAATGTGACGGATCCAATTTGATTGAATTACTGTGCGTCTTCACGTCGCATGCCAAAAGACAATCAGTAAGGAATTTATGTCTCATGTTGCGTCTGTTAAAAACAACCAAACTTTAAAAAGCTATTAGTGCGTTTTTCGAACAATGTGACACACAAACATCCTACCACCTTCCCCATACATAACCACGCCACCTGTTCTCCAACTTTACCAACAATGGCAAAATAGTCAACTGTTAGTAATGGGCGCCCATGTGGCATGACCATTAAATTTGAATTTGGATCTTATCCAAATAGGTTTTGAATTGAATTCAAACCTATTTAGGATAACCACTCAGGATATAGATATTATCAGTTTTAACTGATATGGATAAATAATAATAATATATTATATATCTGATATATGGTTATGTGTAACCAAGAGAGAAAAGACGTATGATCTGTTTCTACCCATAAACTGACTCTCTCCCAAGAAACAACGATCAAGTCATTTGCACTGTGATTTGTGTGGGTGATATTCAATCTGTGATATCACTCCACTGCTGGGTTGGTTTATCAGTTTTCTGGAAGCACGTGATTTATCAACGAGATTTTAGATCAATCAAAAGGTATGATCTGATTATTTTATCCGCTGTATGTTTTTGTGTTTTTGATTTACATTGGTATCAAAGCCATTGATGGATATTTTCGTGTTTCTATTTTTACATGTGTATATATACATTAACACATTATTTTAATAAATGATTTTGTATAAAAATACCAAAGGTAAAAATACAAATTACCTACACTACAAATTATCTAATGTGGTTTTAAAAATATTTTTTTATCAAAATTTGTTATGAGATTAAAAATTTGAACAGCCGAATGTAATTTTTTCAATTATCAAAATTAATTAGTGTTTCAAGCAAATCTATTTGTAATTTACCTAAATAACAATTTTTTCTCATCTTTGATGCATGTATGTATAGGCATTAGGGTTTAGTCGAACAGTCTAGCAGTCACACTATAAAGTGCGGTGAAAGAGAGTGAGGGATTTGAATTGATAAACCAACGTCGAGCACTTTTAATTATAATTTATATTAACAGGTTGTTTGGAATTATCTAAATAAATATATTTTTTATCTTTTTATGAAAAGATATACAGAAAAATAAAAAAATGATGTGATAGAAAAAAAATAAAAAGATTAATTATTTTTAACTTTTCAAACTTGATCTAATATTTTAATATTATTTTTATAATAA